TTATTTTAAATAATATTTAATTTTATTTTAAAATAATTAATTTGTTTAAAATAAAACTAATTTTATTTTAAAATTATTAATTTTTATATAACTTAGATTTAGGATTTAAAATTGGTCAATTTTTTAGAATAATTAAAATTGTTGGTTCTATTTGGCAAAAATTTGGAAATGATCATGCAAGCTGGGATATTTTAGTTGCTCATCTTCGACTTTATAAAGAACAAAAATATCTATATAATCAACCATATGCTCAAGGTTATGATATTCCTATAACTTGGTAGAATTCAATTGAACCTCAACCTAAGTATTTTCAAGAATTAGCATTAAAAATTCTAGCAATTGTTCCAAATAGTGTTTTATGTGAAAGAAATTTTTCTTTACTTACTTGGCTAACTAGAAACAAACAAACACAAATAGATATTCAAAATTTAGAAACAATTGCAAAATTATGTACATATTATAATTCTAATGCAAAAAAAGAACTTTCTTATTTTGCAAATGAAATGACTGAAAATGAAATTTTAGAAATATTAAATCAGACAAATATTAATACGTTTGAAGAAAGATTAGAAAAAGAAGGGTTTGATAAAAATAAATTATTATTATTTAATAATTTAGATTTTAATGAACCTTATACATTAACTAAAGAAAATTTGGTTTTATTTTTGGAAGCAAATTTATGAAATTTTTATTGATGATTTAGAAAAGTTTTCTGATAATAAAGATAATGATGAAGATTTGTTATTAGAAGCTAATGAAATTTTAGAAAATATTAATGAACAAACTAGTCAAATATCAGAACAAGATGATTATAATTGGGATCCTGAAGATTATTTAAATTCAGATGATGATTAAAGGTAAATATTTAAATAAATATTATTTTATTATTTATTAAAATTTTATATTACTTATATTTATAAATATTTAAAATTTATTACTATAAAATTATAGAAATTAAAATATATAGTAAAGTTTTATTTTTATAATATTAAGTTCTTTTGTTTAAATAGAAAGTTTTTTTTATCTAGTTAGCAGGCTTTTTCTTTCTATTAATATTTTTAATTTTTTTATTTTTTATTTTTTAGTGTTAAATATTATTTTTACTATTTTATTTATTATTAAAATTAATGGGTATCCGTTTGCTGTACTAAATTTAGTACAATGTACTAAATTTAGTACAGATTTAAAACTCAAATAAAATAAAAAATATCGCGAACTACTATATAAAATTTATGCGATATAAAGATAAATATATAAAACTCGTTTTGATAATTTAAAATCATCAGTACGCTTTTAGCAATTAGGCGCAAGCAGGTTTTTCTGGGAAGAATTATCAGGGTTTGATTAGCATTGCAGATCAAATCTTGATAACACTTCCGAAATAATTCCCGCTTATATAAACTTGTTCTAACAAGTTATAACCCAGTCAAAGTATGTATAGTTTAATAGTCTGATATCCATATTTAGACTAAAAGTAATAATTTAATTGGAATATTTACGAAATAAAAAATGTGTACCATGGATATATTCATATGTTCATAGATATGGGTCTAAAAAAGTATAAGTTGTAACACAAAAAGTAGTTAAATTTTTAAATAGTTAAGCATTTGATCATTTGTTATTATACACAATGGCAAGAATATCATGCAAGTTAATTGTTGGCGGGCGAGTTAGCTGTAGAGCATCGGTATTACTAAAGGAAATAATTGAACAAAATTTACAAGAACGTAAAAGAAATTTGAAAAACCTACGTCTTTATGGCACAATTGTTGGAGAGCTAACTGCAGAAAGACGCCGAAAATATCAAGTTCGTTTTGAAGAAATTGGAAATATTACTGTAGATGTTCTTGCAGGTAATCTAAAGTATGAAAAACAAGCCACTCCAAATAGAGAAGAATTAGTTACAGAATCGTCATTGACTTTACCAGCTTACGAAGATATTTCTTATAGTAGTGATGATAGTGAAAATGACTTAGAAGAAAACAATGATAGAAATGACATGGATGTAATTGACCTTAGTGTTACGATAAACTGGCGTGAGCAACAAATAACTATTGACCAACGTGCAATTCATCTTGCATACAACCAAGATTGCAAAATTAATATTCCATCAGTAAGTTTGGCTTCGCCATATGAATTATTTCACCAATATCTTCCACTAGATTATATTGAACAGTTTGTAATTAATTCTATTAATAAACGTAGAAGAGTTACTTCAAATTGGACAAATATAACTATTAATAAATATATGAGATGGTTAGGCTTATGGGTGTTAATGTCCGTTTTTCCAGTTGCTGATCGTCATTTTTATTGGAGAACAAATCAAGAACAGACACAGCCTATACCATTATTCAATTTTCAACGTTGGATGAGTCGTTCACGATTTGAACAAATAGTGTTATACTATACTTTAATAATGCCAAGTGAATTAGAAACTCCGGATCTTAATAATCCTTTATATTCTGTTCGCAGTTTTATTAACAATTTTAATAACAACCTAGTTGAAGCTATAAAGCCTGAAAATACTTTATGTGTTGACGAATCCATGAATTCATGGTTAGGTGAAAAAAATAAAATTTCTGGTCGTCGCAAAATAC